GGGCCGGAGCCGGGCGGGGGCGGGGGCGGAGGGCACCCCCTTCCCCTTCCCCTTCCCCTTCGCGGGGCACGGAGCCGGGGGCGATGCTCGCGGGCGGGCGGCCCTTCAGGGAAGCGCACCCAACTCCGCGGGCTGAGCCGAAAGCCACGTGCGGGGCTGCGGAAGAGCAGCTGATGCCCAGGAGCAGCAGGGCCTGGCTGCACGGGGGCACGGCCCTAGTAGCAGAGGACGTTACATGTGCTGCGCGGTAAGCGAGACTAGGCCGGCGGCTACGGGTGCAGGCGTTCAAGCGCATTAAGGCTGTGTGCGCGCTGACTAGGGGACCACGGTTAGCCCCAAGTCAGTCCACGCACACCGTGTTACTGCGCAGTAAGGGGTCTACATGTGCATTACTGCACAGGAACTCATCCAGCATAAATTTGATGCCTGCATCCTGCAAGTAGTAAATTTACGCCCAAGTCAGCGTAAGTCACCGTACTTACTGCACGGTCTGGTTGTGCACGTGTAGACGAGCCATTACTGCACAGTAAATGTGCATGTGTAGATACACCCACTGACTCATAGATGGGGAGGGTGAGAAGGGACCTCAGGAGGCCACATCTAGTCCAACCCCCTGCTCAAAGCAGGACCAGCCCCAACTAGATCATCCCAGGTAAGGCTTGGTCTAGGCAGGTCTTAAAAAACCTCCAAGGCTGCAGAGTCCACAACCTCTCTGGCTAGCCTATTCCAGTGTTTTGCCACCCTCCTCACGAGAAAGTTTTTACTAATATCCAACTTAAATTTCCCTTGCTGCAACTGAAGACCATTGCTCCTTACTCTATCATCTGCCACCACTGAGAACAGTCCAGCTCCATCCTCTTTTGGAAGCACCCTTTAGGTAGCTGAAGGCTGCTGTTAAATCCCCTCTCAGTCTTCTCTTCTTCAGAAAACTAAACCCAGTTCTCTCAGTCTTTCCTCATAAGTCATGTCCCTCAGGCCCCTCACCATTGTCATTGCCCTCTGCTGGAATCTCTCCAATTTGTCCATATCCTTTCTGTAGTGGGGGGCCAAAACTGGACACCGTACAGTACTCTAGATGTGGCCTCGCTAGTGCCAAATAGAGGGGAATAATCTCTTTGCTCTATCTGCTGGCAACACTCCTGCTAATGCAGCCCAGTATGGCATTAGCCTTCTTTGCAATGAGGCACACTATTGGCTCATAGACTCATAGACAATGAGGGTTGGAAGGGACCTCAGGAGGTCATCTCATCCCTGCTCAAAGCAGGACCAGCCCCAACTATCTCATGCCAGGCATGACTTTGTTTACCAGGGTCTTAGAAATCTCTGAGGATGGAGATTCCACAATGCCTCTGGGGAGCTTGTTCAGGTGCTTTACTAGCTTCCTAGCGAGAGAGTTTCTTCTCAACATCCCCGGCTGCAGCTTGAGACCATGACTCCTTGTTGTCTTATCTGCTATCACTGAAAACAAGGAGCCATGGTCTCAAGTTGCAGCAAGAGAAGTTTAGATTGGATATTAGGAAAAACTCTCACACTAGTAAAGCGTTGGAACGAACTCCCCAGAGACATTTTGGAATCTCCATCCTTAGAGATTTCTAAGACCCAGGTAGACAAAGCCTTGGCTGGGGTGACATAGTTGGGGGTGGTCCTGCTTTGAGCAGGGAGTTGGACAAGATGACCTCCTGAGGTCCCTTCTAACCCTCTTTTTCTATGAGTCTATGTTCCACCAATTAAGCTAGCTTCTGTCCTGCCATGCTGCTGCCTGTTGGCTGCTCCTGGTCATAAGCTCCTCTGCTTTGTGACATCAAGACAATTAAAAAGGAGAGAGGGTAGTTAATAGCTGTGGGATAAAGAGTTTAGAAGGGAGCAGGAGGATGACAAGAAGCCATGAAGTCAAGTGATCCTTGCAGGGCTGCCTGACTAAAAATTCTGCTGCCACTACTGGGCACTTGGTTTTAAACTTTGGGTGGAGCAGGAATCAGAAGAGGGTGCAAGTGCACCACTGCACCTCCCCTGGATCCATCCTTGCACTCAGCTCCATGTCCCCCCTAACTCCCCAGCTGTCCAAGGGCTGATGTGCATGGGCAGATCTAAGATCATGAAAAGGGGCAAGGGGAGAGGGGTGGCAGATGGCATGGAGCAGTATCACATACAACACAAGGTGTGTTTTTTCTCCAGTTAAAGAGAAATTAGAAGCTTTACTAATAGGCTGGGGGGCTAGCGCTATATGTGTTGGTTCAAATTCAAAGCAAAAACAAACAAAATAAGCACTGCCATTGGCTGAGTCAGATCATAGGTCCATCTGGCCCAGCATCCTGTGTCACAGCAGCAGAGAGTGGATGCTGAAAGTGAGAGTGAACTGGGTCTGACCAGAGTTTTTTCACATCCTGCTTGTAGCTGCCAACATCGAAAGTCTAGGAAGTTCTAATTCAGAGGCTGTATCTCTCGTGCCCAGACTCAATAGCTGCTGATTCCCCTTTCCTCCAAGAACTTGTCCAGTCCCTTTTGAAAGCTGGCTAAACTGCCAGCGTCAGCAACATCTGGTGGCAATGAGTTCCACACTTGAATGACACGCAGTGTGAAAAAGAACTTCCTTGTGTTAGTTTTAAATGTACTACCTGCTTATTCTTTTTGGGACCCCTAGTTCTTGTATTGTGTGAGAGGGTCAAGAGTAAATCCTTATTTACTGGGGTGGGAGGAGCACTATATTATTCAGTATAAGGTCAAAGTAAAACCAAATATAACTACTGGACTGGGCATTCATTTGCTAGATTATATACAAAGATTTTAAACACAACAAACTAGGCAAAAAAGACTCAAAATAGTCAAAAGATATTGTCTCATTGGTCCTGTAGTCATAATAGGTAAATGTATCTTTCTGTGACAAAAACAGAACTCCAGGAGAGAACTTACCTGGGGGGGGGAGTCGAGCACAGGCAGCGTGAAGCCGCGCTGAGCCAAAGGAGTGACGGGCGCAGAGCTGCAGCTGGGGAGAACACCACGCCAGAAGAAAAAAAAAAGCAAAAAGCAGCCAACCCGGGAGGAGCCAGGACCAGCTCCCACGCCCACTTGGGCGCGTTTTATGGCCGCATGCCAGCACCAATTCACTGGCCAGCTCATTGAAAAGGGAATAAAACTCCCACCAGACAAGAGGCAGGGGGGGACCAGAAGTGGATTCCCCCTGCAACAAGCAGCCCAGAGCAGAGCAAAGCCCCACTGAGGGAAAGTGGTGGCAGCCCCAGGAAGGGGCTTTTGGAGATCATTCAAGCCCAGAACAGCTATATTACTCACCTGAAGCAGAGCCGTGGGCTCCTGAGGTCTCCGGACTGGATTGGACCCACCAGGGACCTGCGGAGAAAAGGAGAGACAGCTGTCCACACCACAGCAACTGCAGGCCAAAGAAAGTGGAACCGACGCCGGGAGACAAGGTAACCCAGGGTCAGGCTAGGCCAGTCCCACTATGGCCTGAGCAGAGTGAGGCAAACTGACATCCGTATATGTCTATACTGATTCAAAAGGCCAAGACACGTGTACCAGTACCATGACCAAACCCAGAAGACCGGGATTCAACATCATTGGTTGGCGTTAGGTGGGGTGTAGGGGAGGCAGAGCCCCAAAATGGGAAGACTAACGGGAGGATCAAAGAAGAGGACCAGGAGGGATGGAATATACGTCTTCCTCCCCTGAGGACCCTCTGGAATCTGACTCAATAGTAGGCCGTCTTTCCTCGAGCAGTGGCGACGTCTGAAAAACCCATGTGAACCAGATGCACTTGTGAACAGCACGATTGATTACACTATCTCATTCAGATTCATAAAGCAACATCTAGCTTTGAACATCTTGACCAGTCCCTCCAATCCTTCAGTGTCAATCATTTCTACAGCTGAGTTAATATTGCCACTCGAGTTAATGTTCTTAGCTAGAGCTAAAAACAGTCTGCAAGGCTGTGAAACAGAAGAGAGATATCACCAGGAAAGACCAGCAGACAGCAAATTGCAGAAGAAAGGACAGTTTGAATAGTGGGACTTAAGACCATTAAAAAGGATAGAGGGTCATTAACATCTGCAGAGTGGAAATAAATTAGCAGGAATCGAGGAGATACAATACATCATGAAGTCACTTGACTTATAACTGCCAGAATAGAAATGCCACCATCCCTTCCAGGCAGTTGGTCTTAAACTTTGGGTGGAGCAGGAATCAAAGAGGAGGTATACCACTGCCCCCTGCCCTAGATACGCCCCTATTTGTATGTCCTGGTGGGAGGGAGGCAGGAGCTGGCTGTGTAGGCTGCTGGCAGTGATCTGAATACAACGTGTGACACATTTAATAGAGCCATCTTGGTTTGATATCTTATACATCTCCTATGAGGGGAGCAGCAAGGGTTTTCCACCCCTCTTCATGCAAAGGTGGTTCTAGACTGCCAATACATTAGGGACCTCCCTGAACCAACCCCCCAGCTCAAGAGATAAGAGGTTTTTATAGTCTTAGCCCAGTGATTCTCAACCAGGGTGCCCAAGCATCTGATTCGCAAGATAAAACCAGAGATTTCAAATAGGAATCCATAGTATCAAACACATGCTCAGGCAGGAGATTGGACTAGGTAACCTCTAGTGGTCCCTTCCAGCCCTACTTCTCTATGATTTTATGACCTGTTGTAGTCTTTCCAAGTGCTTTGCAACAGCAAAACTGTTATTTTCCTGTTGTCAAAAAATGAATGTAAGCTAAGAGCTGACATTTTCTAAGAGGTACCTTGAGTCTCTTCAGGGGTGCCTTGAGTTTAAGAAGGTTGAGAGCCACTGTCTTGAGCCCATGGATTGCATTTTGCAAAATGACCCTTACCTTCATAAGATGAATGAAAAAAAAACTCTAAATCATATCACCGCAGCTAGATCTGAAGAACACCTACACATTAGAGCTGTGCGAAACAGCACCATTTTGTTTCAACTTCCGTTTCGCCATTTCACTGTTTCAACGCTGTTTTGACATTTCACCCATAGGCTACAATGGGGAAGCACAAAACTGCCTATAACTTTGTAATTTCTTGCCTGATTCAGATGAAATCGACAGGGATGGTAGCCCTTGCTGAGGCCATGAAGCCTGCCAGGTTTCAAGGAGATAGGTGTAGGGGTTTCTGGGAAACTGCACCTCAAACTGTTCAGAGCAATATTTGTTTCACTTTTAAGTGTGAAGGCACAGAGAAAGCTCAGTTCAAACAGTGCTTTTTATGCTGTTTTCCTGTCCCAATCCCAGAGCACTGGGATTGGAAGGGACCTCAGGGAAGGATCACAGTCACTAGCCAGCTACACAGTCAGTGTCAGAGCAGTCCTTTCCCCCTCCCTCTCCTTAGTTTCTCTTTAGCTGCAAGCAAGCCTGGCTTCGTAACTCGAAACATTTTGAAACTTTTGAAACATTTTGACTGCCCTTGTTTCATTTCAAGGCTGTTTCAAAGCCTTTAGTTTCATTTTAATTTTGCTGTTTCAAGCTCAAAATGAGTCGAAACAGCGTCAAAACGAAACAGCCGGTGAAATTTTGCACAGCCCTACTACACGTTCCCCACGTCTGCTAATTAGCATGTATTGGAGCAGACCTGATTAATTAGCACACCTCAGCAGCCTCATGTGTATTCAGCATCCCTGCACTTCGATATGGTGGCGGGTGCACTTTAACTAAAGCTTGTCAAACAAGCGCCGTTTTGAAGCACAGGATACTGCATACACAAGACTCTGCAGGCCCTTTAATTAGAATGCTTCCTCAAAGCCACTCAAATCAAAATGATCCTCCACCCCGGAGCATGTTTAAACTCGCCCAAAATGGCTTAGCGAGATCTCATTGCGTGTGGCTAAAATGCCATCTCATGAAGGCTGATTCAGTGTAAAATTCCACTCATTGATGTCCCATATTACACTGCTGACTAGTGGGTTAAGGAGGCCAATTGCTAGTGGGTATTGTGTTGATGTTCTTCATCTGGCAACAGTAGCAGTGTGGCTACAGTGAATAGGAAAAATGAAAAATTTTAGCGATGAAGGCAATATTTTTTTCTTTGTTTTGTAGGGACTAGCATAGTAGGATGTCTTCAGTGTGGGAGAGTGAATCTGTGGTGGGTTACAATGTGGAGTATGAAGGTAATTTTGTCTGATTTCATTTTGGTTTTTGTGTGTCTTTTTCAGCCAGCCCTAGCAAGGATAAAAAAAAATTTCAGGAATTTTGCAATGGCAATTGTGTTCCTTCATCAGTGGCCAGGAGGGTGGGATAATGTTGGGAGTATGGAGGCCTAGGCTGAGGCATGTTTCCAAGGGCTTAGAGTCCTTGATCCTTGTGGTAGTTAATAGAAGGAAGACAAGATAATAGTAAATATATAAGGAAATTATGGAATGATTTAACTTCTGCCTTTTTGGTCTCACCTATTCAAGAGAAGGCTAAGTTGTCAGGTGAGAAGGATCCCAGATCCCAGCTTTCAGTTCATGATGATTAATGCTTGGTCAGTGGGAAATAAAATACGAACCATCTCCAATTTAATAAATTATGGAACCTCTGATGTTTTGTGTACTGCTGAAATCTGACTGGATCTAGTTAGGGCAACACTGGGGACAGTGGGAAGGAATGATTATATCCAGCATGGAGTGTAGAGGACCTCCCACCCCAAAACCAGTTTGGCAGATTATCCAACTACCATATAATTCCTACGTTGGGACGAAGATGTGCCTGCTTTGGGTATATCACTTACCATGCTGTTCTGTCATGAGCTGATTAAATTCCTCTCCACAGTGTTATCAGAAGAGCAGAGATTGATTGCTTCTGGCAGTTTCAGCCAACACGCCATTAAGTCTTCTGAGGCAGTTCAGAATTTGCTAATATTTATCAAGACCCTGGGCCTGTTTCAGTTAGTTACATGGTTAGCTCATACAGTTGGCAAGACTTTGGGTCCACTAGGATTGGACACAAGATATTTAGACCTAAAACCTATAGAACTGGCTTGTAACTCCTGCAGTTTAAGGTTGTGGCTCATTTCCTTTGTTGGGGCCTGTTGATGTCCTGTCCTGATAGGAAGTGATGGGATTGCTCTTCAGGTGCTTTGTCCTTTTCTCTCCCAGCGATCTCAGTGGGGGTGATTCTTGGAAATTACTCTTCTTCCTGATGAGCCATCCTATCACCTCTCTGGTGTACATGCAGCCATTAGAAAAGTTAGTAACAAGACCTGGGATTAAGTGTACTCAGTATACTGATGACACCCAGCTCCATGACACTTTCTTGTCTGATTCAGATAATGTAGCTTAGCGATACAGTAAGTGCCTAGCTGATGGTGGGACATGGATACCATAGACTGACAAGGTTCAGACTGGACAAGACTGAAGGGATGATGGTGTATTGGAGAAAGGAATTGGAGGTGATATCAGCCCTTTTGACTATAGGAGTATATTCGCTGTCAATACTGGGGTTTATAATTTCAAAATCCCAGCTGTTGTTTGATGATCACATTACAGCCATATCTCAGCCATCTTTTTGGCATCCGCTGGAGGGTGTAACCTATTCTTTCAAAAGTAGACCTTGCTACTGTTATCCATGTTGTTTCCATCTCAGGATTGACTGGGGCAGTGTAATATGCATTCATTGGCTACTCCTTAAAAGGATGGAGGATGGAACTGTGTGTACACTTGGCAAACATGCAGATGATAATAAGCTGGGTGGGATAGCAGAAACTTTAGAGGACAGGATTAGGATTATCAATAATTTAGATAAATTGAAAAAAATGGCCTGAGATAAATAGGATGAAAGTCAATAAAAACAGTATTACACTTAAAAAAGAAACAATGCAATGCACAGATACAAAATGGGGAGTGACTGCATTACTGCAGAAGAGGGGGGCTAGACTGCATTACTGCAGAAGAGGACCACAAACTGAATATGAGTCACCAATGTAATATGGTTACAAACAAAAGCTAATGGTATACTAGGATATATTAACACAATTGTTATATTCAAGTCACTGGAAATGATTCTTCCACTCATGTTGTCACTGGTGGGACCTCACATGGAGTACTGTGTCCAGATTTGGGTATGACACTTTAAAAAGACCCAGACAAATTGGAAAAGAGTCCAGAGAAGAGTAACAAAAATTATTAGAGATCTAGAATGCATGATATATAAGGTAAGGTTTGTTGAAATGTGATTATTTAGTCTAGAGAAGGGAAGACAGGAGGTATTAAAAGGATTGTTTTAAAGAGACCAATGATCAGTGTTCAGTTGTTCTCCTTGTGCACTGGGGACAGGATAAAAAGTAATGGGCTTAAATTGCAACAAGGGAGATTCAGGTGAGAAGTTGAGAAGAACATGTTCACTATGGGGGTGTGTAACAGGATGAGCAAGGGAGGCCTGCTGTGATGCCCCCTAGTTGCCATCTCAGTCCTGCCTCCCACAGTCTCACCCTGCTTCCTTTCCTGCCATGCCTTGAAGTTAGAAGTAAAGAGGGGAGGCTGCCCTCTGAGGCTGGTGAGCCTAAAGTGCACTCTCTCTCTCTCACTCCCAGTCCTTGCTCCCTCAGGCCCTACTTGGCTTAAGGCAGCAGTTTCCATACTGTGGATCACGACCCTAAAGAGGGTTGCAACATCAGCAGCTAGGGTTGTGAGATTTCTGCGCCCACAGCGAGCACAGGGTTGCAACGGGGCTGGACCAGTTCTGGGCAGAAGCCACCTCCACAGCCCAGCAAGAAGGACCCCGCACAGGAGGGAGCACTGCCCTGTCATAGACCCTAAAGGTAAGGTGTGCCAGTGTGGAGTTGTGCCCCCACTGCTGCTGGGTGGGCAGGGGGCACCTCAGCTTGCTGGCCATGGCAGTGCAGCACCTCCTCCTGCCCACTGGACCACAGAGCCCCGGGGAGAGGGCAACAGAGCAGGGAGCCCCAAGGCCACAACAGACACCTGCATCCTCCTCCCCACCTCCCCCAGGATCTGCTCCAACCATGCCACCCACAGGGGGAAGGGGACGGGGCAGGGGGTGGAGGGGGACCCAGGCTCCAAACTCCCCCCTGGCCACCGCAGCTGCCACGTTTTGTGAGCAGCAGCCTGGGCTTGGGCGCTTCTGGAGGGACTGGAGGGCTGCAGGCTGGGAGGGAGAGGCACCAGCAGGACCAGGGGCTATGGGTCAGGAGCGAGAGGCACCTGGGAGAGTAGGGGGCTGTGGCTTGGGAGTGAGGGGCCATGCTGAGGAAATGGGGTCATAAATGGGGTCATGTTGAGGAAAAGTTTGGGAAGCTCCATCCCAAAAGCTTGGCCTCCTTCTGCCCCTGCAGCCACACCCATGCCTTGCAGGTGTTACTTGGTTGCCATTTAATCTCTTGTCTAGGCTTCAGCTTTCCTAGCCTTAGCCTACAGGTTACTCTGGCTGTAGACAGGTAGCCTAGGCCCGCTGACTCTGGTCTGGCCTTTTCATCCCAGCTTCTTGGCAGCCCCTGGCTGCTCCTCTGTGCCTTGGGGCTCAGGCTCTGGCCCCCTCACCCTCAGGCCTGCCTGTGCCCAGCGCCCCTGCCCCTGGCAGAGCTCAATACCTCACCTGCCCCTCAGGCTCCCCTGTGGCCTCCTTTCCTCCCCTATCCGCTACATCTGGTCCTCCAATTTCACTAGAGCACAAATCCAAGTCACTGCTTCCAACTCAAGCTTAAATCATAACTTAAACATAAACGACAGTTTCTCAACTAAAAACCCACCTAGCTCTGGCTAGTTCCCTCACTACAGGCCGTCAGCTCCCCTTAGCTCTCCAGGCAACTCCAGGGAGCAGCTCAGTTTCCTGCCACGCTGCCTGCTGCGGGCATCTCAGGGCACTCCTCTCCCTGCAGCTTGCAGGGCCTGGCTGCCCCTTCTAGCCTGGGCCCTAGATTTATATGGCTGAAAGCCATGCCCCCTTTCTGCCATCTGCCTTCCCCAGCTCTGCATGGGGATTTTCCTTGTTAATTAAGGATCAGCCTGCCCCACACAGCCAATTTAGCCTGCTGCATCCTCTTAAAAGGACAGGAGCCCCCTGGCTCCCTGTTAGTCACCTCTCCTCCCTTTCCATTGCACCCGCATACCAGGGTTTAGGTCCCCTGTTACAGAGTAGTTAATCCTCAAAACAGATTATCTAGAGAGTCTGCAACATCTCCATTACTGGAACTGTATCCTGTAATGAACAACTTTCTAGCCAGAAATGATCTTGCCATGAGCAGAGGGTTAGCATAGACAACCTCCATGTATGTATTCTGTGTTTCTGTGAAGACCATTTGAAACCTGCCACTGGTGCCAAACTCTGCAGCTCATTGCTGAAGAAGGCATCTCACCTGGAGCACATGAAACCAGTGCTCCAGTAAATACACTGCCTGCCTCTGTGTGGAGTTCAGGTTGTTACGAACTCCAATGCCCCAAATGGCCTGAGGCTGCCCTGCATAAGGGAACGCCTCTCTCCCCTGCTCATGCTGCAACAGGTGTGGGCATTAGAGGCATTCATAATAAAACACATGAGGACATTCTCCGAGTGCTCTCAGAGGCTGTAACTCACTTCTCACCTTGTTATTAATAAGTTTCCTGTTGTGATACAAAAGGCACATGTTCAACAGGGTTCCAGGAGAATGTGTAAGGGCCATGCCCCATCCTGGTGAACTGGGTTGAGTGGGCAGCTCTCAAGGCTGAGACCCCGTGGAACTGATTTTAATGCTGCTGGGATTTAATTTTATTGCATCTATTGTATTATTATGTTATGGTGCCCAGAGTCTTGGAGGGATGCATTTATTATTTTAAATCTCCCTACATAAATTTGGGCTCCTGATAGGATTTTTTTTTGTGGTGCCGGTATTTGTACATTGGGATATGGGTTGAAACCACTATGCTCATTTCAGATAGTCCACTAACCTACATGAAATGAACTTTTTCACATGCAGATCTTTAGAATCATAAGTTAGTTAGTGTTAATGCCAAGTCTGCAAAAATGCAAGGCCAGCCAAGTTTGACATGGAAATATCATAATTAGGGACCTACCGAAATCATGAAATCCAGCCCTGCCGTGAAAATGGCAGCCAGCCCCACAATGTCCCCATGAAATAGGATGGCTGCCTCCTTGAGTTAGGCAGACCCCTAATCATAATGTATGTGACCAAGTCAGGACTTGCATACACTTACGTGTGTGTGCTCACGGTTACTCTTTTTCGTGTATATACCCAAGTGGCTACAGAATTCAGCAAGGTGTGTCCAAAGGCACTCATGTTCTGGACTGCAGCTGAACGTGATACTTGCTACCCCAAATGACAGCATATGTTGCCCAGTGTGCAATCCAAGAGTTTTTGTATTTCTTATAATTCTTCAGTGCCTCCATCCTGATTTGGAGGCATCTGTTTCTTTAGACAGAGGAACAGATCTATCACAAATGGGTGGAGGTTTTCACAATGAATAAATGGGCTGAGGTGATTTTACAAATGACAATTACAAAAAAATAACCTTTGTGGAGAGGATCTCAAAACAATAATGAATAAATTCTGTGAGGGAACACGTGAGGAAACCAAGGTATGAAGAAATTAAATGGCTTGCCCAGGGTCTGACAGTGAGTCTGGAACAGAATTAACAGCTCTTAACTTTCAGTAGTGTTTTCAGCACAAGATAATCTGTCTGGAGTGACTTCCTTTCACTTAACACGCTGTTATAGGTTGTGCTTTTTTTTTCTGGCTGCTCTCCCCCATGTGTTTGCTCCCCAAGCTGCTGTATTGGGCTCAAAATGCATTCAAGTACTTATAAACTTACCGAGTCTAGTGTCCAGACACTAGCCACGCATCTGACCTTGCTCACACACTCCCAGGGTACAGATGTTACTGCCAATACCACCTCTTGGGATGTGTGGCCTAGTTTCCCTAAACCCAAGATCATGGGACATCCGCTCCACAGCCCGCCCAGAAGTTTGTACATGCTACCTCCAGAGCTCCACCCTACTTGGTGCCCTGATTTATTGTTTAATTCCTTGGAGACTTTGGTGACTGTTAGAGTGAGTAATGTAAAGTCTTCGCCATTGAGCATTTATACCCTTTACATGGACAAGAGAAAGCAATGGGAAAATAACAAAGTCCTGCATGCAAGACTCTGACTCATTTTCCTCACCCCTTCTGAGGTGGGTCTTAGTATCCTCCAGGAGCTACAGGGTCCTCCTGTGTTCCTCCTCCTTTCACCCAGACATTTCTTCAGATTTGTTCTGGTCCTTCTTTGCTAGGGAATCTCCCATTTAACACTTTTTCTATGACTACCCTTACTGCAGGGGTTTTTCATCCTCCAGCCCTCTGCATTTATTATAGGGGATCACAGTCATTAGGAGCGCAATAATTTTTGACTGGTAGTCTCCCCTTGCATTTAGACAAACAAAAAATGTCTTAACATTGTACTATTTAGTTAAGTATCAGTGACTGCACTATTTACCTTTCTGCAGATGTGAAAATTCCCCAGGTCTAAGTTGAACAATTTGTGCCCTTGTAGCAGACCTCATGTTAGTAATCGACTAAAGAGAGGTTCATATAATACTCATAACAATAATACAGCTATCTCCTCCATGCTTCATGGTGTGCATATCATATCTAAACTTATCCACTTTGTAACTCTAATCTTTCCCTTTCTATTCCCCTCCCTTCTTACTGTATGTTATCTTCACTCCTTGCATCACTTCTTACATTAGATTGTGCTTTATCTTTTTTTCCCCTTGTGTGCCTATTAATAGACTTCTGATTGTGAGCCTGGTTGAAAGCTCTAGCCCCTTCCATTTTTTTGTATAGAAGGTACACGTGCCTGGGGCTGACCTGTGTAAGGGAATGCCTTGCATGCAATTAAATAATGTCCATACAGAAGCAGATGAGGAGAGGGTTTGCAATTCCTCTTGTGATTGTTTCGTGAACTAAAATGGCATTTTTATAAGACACCTCAGCTCATTAGATACTCTTAGAGAAAAATGACTGCTCAAGGGTATGTACACTCAGTCCAATCAACAGCGAGCAAAGCTTGCACAATGGCAAACACACCTTCAGGCAAGTCATCAAGATCAGTTTCTAGCTGGTACAAAGAATGGTGGGGGAAGGAACCAACAGCCATTACCTGAGAAAGTCCTAGTCCTTTGTTGGTCTTGACTGAAAACTAGCAAAACAAAACTGTTTCAGCATCATTGACTGTAATCGTAAAGCCAGTAAAAAAAGGTACAATGGGCTAACATTACTAAAGCTATCATGTGAAAGCGGCAAAGAGTTACTTTCTTCTAACACTGAACAAGGAACTTGTTATAACTAGGAAAACATCATTACTCCAAAGCTACTCTCTGGTCCCTTTTCTCTGGTTCATTATCAAGCTTCTGCTTAGAATCTTCCCAGTGTCCATTCATGCTCGGCTTCCTGATATAATTTAAAATCAACAGTACACATCCTCACATCTTCTGCCCTTTGCTTTGTATAATGGATTATGGCCTGGTTGTGGAATCTTTTCACATGTTGGTGAACAACTTACTCAGCTAAGTGGGCAATAGCATCTATTTAACAACAGATTATAGACTCAGGTATGAGCTTTGTCACTCCTCGGGACCTGGCTTCAACCAGTTTTGTGTGGGGTTTTGTCCAGACTCTTCACCCAAATGATCAAATAGAGAGCCCTGTACAATAAGTTTACAGCTCCACTCAACCAGATTCTCTCTCTTCACTGAGGATGTAGTTGTGAGTACTGTTGCTATGATGGCGGTATGACAATTGAAGTGGGTTGCAGCCAGCTGAAGGTA